ACGCCCAGGTACTTAGACCCGCTCCCCTGTACTTTAGACCCGGTTGTAATGATTATATGTTATGAAGCTGCCAATATTTTTCAACAACTGGGAATCATTTAAAGGGACATTATGGAAGTTTGACAGCCAAAACATGTATAGAAATAATATATTTCTTCTTCATACATTCTCCTGCAATGCCCTGGTCCTGTAGAATGAGCCCTGGCATCTTTACTGTGATTGCCTGTTTTTCTGTAAAATCACAGAAAAAGAGAGTTGCTCGGGTCGAGCAGGCTGCTTCATGCGCGTTCACGCTCAGGCATAGCCCGTAGCATTTGCTATCAGTAGCTTTAGCAGCAGAGAGAGAGGTAGTGCCAACTCAGCGACTTTGTCGCTGTTCATAACGCCTAGTGATGAACCTAGCTACATTTCTGAGGACCCTTAGCTACTTTCTTCTAGATATTTCCTGCAAATTAGCAACAAAATAGCCATTTTCACTCTGAACCATTCTTTGAACGTTGTTTCAGCTGTCATCAAGGATATAAATGTTACAGATAAACAAGACATCACTGGTGCTATAGCTCCCCCAGTAAGACAGCGAACTCCTGTGTGGAAGACCCGAGTTCAACTCTGGATGAGAACATAATTGATTTAGAGTTTCTTTTTTACATTAATGGTATATTTTTTTACAGTATGCCCAAATTTTTATTTGAGACTTGCAGAACGGCATTGAATTCACAGATAAAAAAGATGTGGGTTCAACTTTCATTTTGGAACAATTTTTCAAGCAAGGGAAGGGAATGATCTGAGCGTGCAGGAGGACTGACCCATCATAAACCTTTGTCGGCTGTGCTGAAGAGAAAGGTACAGAACCAAATTATTTAATTAATTAGCTGCGCGTTCTCCTGTCCTCTGTCCTTCGGGCCACACACACGCACGCACACACACACGGGACTGTTTCAGCTGTTATTTTCATTAAGGAGTGTGCACGTACAGCATGCGCGCCTCGTGCACGAGCAGACTATTGAAACTGCCGTTACCTTTTTGGCCCGAGGGGGCAATCGCGAGCATAAAAATTCAAAACTCCGTAAAGTCCCTTTAATGAATTTTCAACATTTTGATGAATAATTCCAGAGATTAATGGTAAAAACTACACATTGTCACTTTAAGTTAGTAGAAAAATCAGATGTGTTCACTTCTTTTTATAGACAACATAAATCAAAACTGTAAAACAAACCATTGGCTTCAGAACAAGCCACAGATGTTCACAGTGCTCTGATGTCAACATTTAAGAAACAGCTGAAGACTTACTATTTGACCAATATCTTTGTGGGCAACTGATTATATTAGTTGGCATCCTTTTCCCTTTTTTTCTTAGGTTTTGGTGTTTTAAAAATTTCTTTGAACTTAACAAGTTTGTTATGAATGTTTTTATTAGTTTTCTGCTTTTGTTTATTTTATGCCATGCTCAGCACCTTGGATGCCTTTTGGTCACTGATGAAGCAATTCAAATAAAGGATGATGATCATGATGATCAACTAATCTTACAGCTGAAATCACGATTTGCTCAACTTTAAAAGCCAATTGTATTTACTTTTGTTTGCCTGGGTTATCATGTTTCTACAATCTAACAATGGCACTTATATGATAAAGTTAGTTTTCATTGTTTTTGAAAAAAGGGGACACATTTAAGAACGTCAAGCAAAGTTCAAATCTTAAGACAGAAACTATCCTATTATTTCCTCTGGGTGGTTGTTAACTTTATGTAGCGATGAAAAGGATGCATGCAACAGTTTTTAATGTTGTTACAACGCTATTAAAATACTCTAAAACACTAAAAGTGAGGCGTAAAAGCAGAATAGTGAATTGAAAAATGTTTTACAGCTTCATATGATAATTCATAGATTTATGTACAATGGTATAGAGATTTAAAGTGCAATAATAAATAAGTTGGATAATGTTTTGATGACAACTCCTTTAGATTGTTGTTGTAGTTTAAGCTTCTTAAATAAAGATGTTGGGTTATTATAAACACATGAAAACCAGGGTGTTTTTAGTTTAGCGTTAATAAACACAACAGGGACTAAAAATCAAAATGTAAAAAAAATTGAAAAAAATCTGTGGATACATGGTTGACAGTAATAATTTGCACAAACAGACCAGCAAAAGTTACTTGCAGTGTGAAGGACACTTCATAACCTGTATGGATTTTTTTCTTTTGAAAAAAAAAAAATGCTATGGAGACAAAAATCAATAGAAAGAAACATGGTTTGCTTTTGACATATAGCATTTAGATCCAGCTAAGATACACAAAAATATTCATATTTAGAGCAGTTTCTTCAGTCCGTTAAGTTAGGGTTTTTTTTTGACTCAGAAAGAGTGTCACCATATTTTACCTGAATCTGCCTGAGATCATCTCACTAAATGTATTCCTCAGACAGAGAGGCATAGAAGTGGGAGTATGGTGTGTGTCTGCATGCATACAAATGAGGTTGAAGCAATGACATTTATAGATGGCACCATTAATGTCTGTGAATATACCAAAATGTTGTCTGAAAAGATGACTGACAGCATCCAAAAAAGAGAATTCTCTACAGACATGTCAGTGTTTGATCACCACTAAACAAATGTAGCTAACACATGGCAGGAGGAAAAACTTGGATAATTTCTTATTAAAAAATGTTTAGCAGAATAAAAATAAGGATTTTAAGTTATAAAGCTAAACATTATAACTGAAAAAAAGAAATAAATACATTTATAAAGTCAAAAATAAAGAATTGTTTTAACTCTTAAAGTAACACAGAGCAGTTTCCTGCTCTTCTGCCCTACTGGTTGAAAGTGGAATTACAACTACCGTAAACAAGCCTGCAACAGCCTGCCCTAGCTAACATTACCAACGAGCTAACACTAGCATGAGCCAAGTCTTACTAAATAAGCCACAAATCAAAAAGATCCACACTGTTGCAAAAACATTATTATTACTACCAAGTCCAGTAGCAACAAAGTCTGTGATTTTGTTGCCTTTTTCAGCTTCCTCAAACTATAGTAGGTCGTGCCAATGTTCACTCCGGTTTTAGCTCTTTGCTTCCCCACCAAAGACACTACTCTCTTACTTTTACTTTCAGGCTCTGCCATGATGTCCACAGAAAAGTAAACTTCTTTTTCTTATTCTTGTGCTTTTTATTAATGATGAGCAAACTGAAAAAGCTAACAAATAATAGTTAACAGCTGTATTGCAGGTATAAGAGTTCCCCCCCCCCCCCCCCCCCCCCCCCCCCCCCCCCCCGCAATACTGTTAGGTGCAGTATCTGACCAGCAGAGGGCTGCAGAGTGGTGTCAATATAAAACTGTAAAAAAAGTTTCTAAATCAACAATCACTGAGATCAGTGTTAAAGCTCTAGCCTAATGTTAAAAAAAACACGATTTAGTGTTGCTTTAAAGCAGAAATTCAGAGTTTTTGTCAGATGACTTCATCTAGAGCTGAAAAATGTATTGCACCTTAAGTCCCTTGCACTACCTTTGTAAATGCAAACCTCTAGCTGGGTAAAAGAGCTAAAACACATTGTTTATATTTTAAAGACTTACTTGCTCATAAGATATTTTGCCAGCTGTGCATGAGTTTGGGTACGTCCTCAAACGCTCACACGCTCTGTGAGATCTGTTCGTAGGTGAATGTCTAAAGCCTGGTTTATGCGTCTCCGTCAGCTCCGCAAGGGACAGACACGCACGGATTGACGGAAGCGTTTTGCTCTCATACTTCTCCGTCTCCTGGAGAGTGTTGCAAAGCAATTCCCCGGCAGGACAACAGAGGGCGTAGCGCTGTTCTGTGGTATCCTGTCATGTATCGGTCCAAGATAGTGTGTTTATATTGTGTTTTTTGTGTATATAAGAGACTTTTAACACGGACATATTTGTCTCTCATTCTCCCACCTCTTCATGCACTCCCCACCTCTAAACCCATGTTTCCTGTCATTTCCGTCTACAAATAAAATGCTTGCTGCGCATCTTTTCACTCCTCCAGTCACAGGGGAATTAAACGTTCATATTTTTAGTTTTTTCGCGAGGTATTCTTCAAGCTTCCCCGTGTCTGCCGCTAGTTATCCTCGGCTCTCTTTGCAATGGTGGCGTTGTAAACAACAGCGGCGTCCTGACCAATCACAAGCTTGCATAATCCGTCTCATTCGACGGATGTTTAAAAAAGTGGGCTCGACTCCGTACGTACTTGCGTGCCTGCCGGGGCCCTACGCAAGGACGGATAATGGCGTTGCATGTCTCCGCACTGACGCAGACGGAGAAGCATAAATCAGGCTTAACTCTATTGACTAAAGTTGAGCGGGTGTCTGGAAAAAATTGCTGTGGGCTCAATGGAATTGATGTTTTACCCACATGATATCACCCTATAGGGAAAAACTCACTTTAACGGGTTTCCCCCAAAAAATCATACATAATTCCTGAAAAAGGGAATACTCCGGATTGCTGCTTTTTAGCCATTAAGAATCAATCACATAATGTTGATTTGAGTTCAAATTCAATTTTTCACTCAGCAGAGTGTTTTTCTGAGGAATACCACACAGAAATTAGTCCACTTAAGATAAGCTAAGCCAAAAAAAATGAAGCAATATGAATAAAAAACTGAGCACAAAACAACAGAGATGCGAAAGTCATTTCAAAGCTAACAAAACCGTTCATGTCTTTAAACTTTGGAACAAAAAATGTCTGATACTTTGTACAAAGCATATAATCCTTCAAAGGGGATGCTGTCTCTGGCAGTTTTGCATTGTACTGGGATTTAAATGGGAGAAAACAGCAGGTCGTGCCAGAATAATACTCAAATAATTCTTGTGTTGCAGGTATAATCGGTTTACAAAGAAAGGGTCTCATGCAGTTTGATTCTTAAGTTCTATGAAATATAAATACCTTTAAATCAAAAAAAAGATCATCAGTGATACAGTTTTGTATATTCTGATGAGTTTTACATTCTAAAATATCTTTTTAATCAGGGTAAAGACCAGCTGCAGTACCTGATGCACGTTCCTCCGTTATGACAGGGAAGGTGTTGGCACACAGGAGGGTCACAGTTCTTGATGTTCCTGCCTCTCACCGACTCACCCACCAGGTCGATCTTGTTCCAGTTGACCTGAAGATCTCGGATGCAGCCACTGAATCTCCTATCTCCTTTTGCACTCCTATCATGCATTTCCCAGTGAGACGAAACAGCACCGAGGAATACGGGTCCAAATGTTGTCTGTTAAAGACACAGAAAAACAGAAGAGTTGACTCATCTCAAACAGAAATCCTAACAAATCCTGGATTTCATCCCTTTAAGTACAAGCTTCAAAGTTAATCTTTTATGCAACACTTCCATCATCATTAGATTTTAATTAACACTTGATGCATATTAAGACAAACTTATAAGATTAGCACTATTAACACACTACTTGTTCTCATTTTTGATCCCTGATTTTAAACTTCATGGGGCCAGATCATAAGTCTACTTTTTAGAGTTTTTAACTTTACCTCCATTTCCTCACAAAAAATACACCCCGACCTGTTTTTGGTGGAGAGAACAGTTTCGTCCCCTCTGCGGTTGGACTCATGAACGACAATCCTAGGTCTGCCCTCTCCAGTCTCCGGGTTCCAGTCACATGACCCGGTGTTGTGTTTGCACCTGAACTGATCCGCTTTGATTGGTACCTACACTGTCTTGCATATAGCAGCTGTTTCTCTAAGTATTGCCACTTAATATTATTATTACATTATGATTACATTCCTACTTGCTATTTTTCTTATCTCTTATTTTTATCTTCCTTTTTTGCACCAAGCACAGCAGAAATTTCCTAAAGTTGTGCTTCTTGCACATATGGCAATAAAACCCTTCTGATTCTGATTAATGCATTTTCCTGTCTCAGGGTATTTTTTCAGATTCTGAGCTTAAGCCTGCAAACACAAAGACGGAAACTAAGTGTGTCATCAGGCCCTGCTCCTCCCCCTGAAGATGGTCTTGGATCTGGAACCCACCTCCCCTAAAAGTAGGTCACTAACGTGCACTTTCTCCCAGTTGCAGGCATAGAGCGGTTGATTTCATGCTGCAGTTGAGAATGTGACACCTCCACTGGTACCAGAGTGGATATTCTGACAAACTACTTCTGCATTGGGGACAAAACACCACCATGAAAAACCACTAAGATGCACGTGCGGGCAAGATACTTAACCCCCCTTGCAGGCTGGGTGTGGTCAGAGGGACCGGTGGCGCTAGTGCTCAAAAGCCTCGCCTCTGTCAGTGCGCCCCAGGGCAGCTGTGGCTACACCGTAGCTCATCCCCATCAGTGTGTGAATGCGTGCGTGAATGGAGTCCTCTGACTCTGAAAGGTGCTATATAAGTGTGGGTCGTTTATCAATTAGAAACAGGTGAGGGAGTGAGAGGGGCAAACAGAGACAAACACAAAGGACGTGTTTTTCATCGGACAATATCAAACCACGTTGGTAATGTCCGACATGCTTTCACAAACAGCCTTTGTTTAAAAGAAGAGAAGTTGTGCTTGGTGTTATTGTGATGAATCCTGTTCTGCTGCTGGAGATTCAGCCTCTCTCTCTCTCTCGGTCACTCACATTCTCGCACTGCATTTGTGGCAGCAACAGATGTTTAATATCAGCTGTAGAAGCAGACATATGCAAGAGGAAAAAAACGGGAAAATAATGTGCCGCTCTGTCAGCTGGACTCAGCTCCAGTACTGGAATCCGCCCTTCCTGTCCCCGTGCTGTGTGCTTCCGCTGTAACAGAGAAAAATCCCAGATGTCTAAAATAGTTGACAACAGATCCTGGGCCAGTCAGGAGTCCTACAACGAACCACAGCTTAGACGATCAAGTGATCGCGTTGTTTGAAACTGCAATTTTGGCCTAAAAACGATAGATCGCTCAGCTCTACTAGCCAGTGTGAGTCCATGTGAGGCGAGCAGAGTAAATCAACTACAATGCTGATTGGAAATGACCAAATTCAAAAATGTTTAGAGACACAAAATATTGTGCAGAAAACAATCAATACAATTAAAATATAATACAATTAAATCAGCTTCAGCTAGCTTAATAAAATACTGCTGAAACCGGGAGTCGAACCAGTGTCAGCACATAGCAAAATTAGACAAAAGGCAGAAGCTTTAACCACCGGACCACCAGAACGCCAAATGGCTTGCCTAAGATGATTAAATGAACCGTTTCATTGCTGGGTATACAACCAGGCTGACAAAAAAACTCATATTTAAGACATTTCAATAGTGACAACAGTAATATTTTATCAGATATTGAGCCTACCTGTGCTCTCAAAGATTTAAAATATTGTTCTTTAATATTAAGCTTAGGGAATTTTTCTGAATTATTTTTCTATGCAAACATAATTGATTGATTGGACTGTTAAATTTTTTTTTTATTAAACATCACTAAAGAATGATCACAACAAACTGAGACAGATTTAAAGCTAATTCTACCACAGCAAAGCTGCATTAAATGTGGCAGAGTATAATTACAAAGATCATTTATTCGTAATTTAATTACAAAGATAATTAAAAATAACTATTTTAGTTCCAAGTGATAACCTCTCAGTGTACCAATAAACATTAAATAACTAACTATTTTACATAAAAATAAAACCTTGGCAGATCAGTCATTTATAAAAATAAAAAAAATTAATAATAAAGCTGCTAGAATTCTCTTACAAAACACCCAAACATTATGTAAAATTGTTAAAGCATAAAACAACTTTGGCCAAAAGGATATTTGGTTAAGTTTGGATACATTTATTTCATCTTTTTAAACAATTAATTCAGTTTTCCTGTTCATTATATTGCTTAGCAGCAATCTCTGAATCAAAACAAATGATGACTCGGAACCAGAGACATCCATAAATAAAAGTTTATTTGCCAAATTATTTATTTCATGATATGCTAGTTTTAGCTTGTTTGTATTAAAATAATCTAGATATAAAACGAAACACTAATCTTTTGCAATACCAAACATGTGAACAGATTTTACAGTAGATTTTGATTATCCGGTATCTTCATAACAAGAGATACGTGTGCATTTTCAAGGACAGCGCAAGATGAAGGCTCTATTTCACTTTAACAAAATTTTCTTTCAATTCAATAAAAAGTTAAAATCTGTGACAATTATTTAGCAGATCAAGTGCACTCCTTGATTTTAGTGTCATCGTGGTCTGTGCGTGTGCTCTGTCTTCTCAAACCGCCACTGAGGCTGCTCATACCGAGCCAGGTTCTGTTGGAAGCAGCGTTAATTACGTTGACGAAATGTTTTCATATTTTTTTCATGATGAATGAATTTTTGCAAACAAAAATGAGACGAAAACTTAAATTTGTGTTTACGTAAAGACAAGTATTGATCAAAAAGTCAATAGTAATTCCACATAATCTGTTTTCAACAGTATGCCGGTTGTTGGAACCGTAAACTGCACAAAAACAGGCACAGTTGCTCACTCAGTATTGACTCCGATTAGGTTTTAGTGAGTGAGGGGCCCATCTGGCAAAGTGGTAACACTCCAGCGCTCAACGTCGCGTCTACATATTTCGTTTTCGTCTCGTTCCCAACTCTAGTAGCCACTAGCAGTTTATTTCATAAAAAGAGTACATTCGTACTGATTTTAAAAGTAAACTTTCTTCTTCTAAACTAGACCTGCTTTTTATTCTGATTGCTGTTTGAATGTGGAACTACTTTCTGAATGAGTGTAATGAGAAAGTAGTGAAGCGGTTCTCATGTGATCATTTTAGACCAATGCCGTGCTCACATTTAGTAAACAGGAAACATGGCAGTGTACTCAGGAGTCAGAAAATAGCAGCGATAATGATTTACATACCTTAGAAACTCATAAATTAGAGAACAAAAATTACTTTTATGGAAACATGTTTGATGTAATATGTCAGGGGACAAGTTTCTGTAAAAATATATTTAAATAAAAAAAGCTCTTCACATTTAGCGTTTCCAAGTCTGTGTGCATTTTGACGTTCTCACGCTTCAGCAGCTCTTCTTCCACCATTTAAATGATTATCCCTGTTTTGCCGGTTCCTATCAACTCTTGCTGCTGACTCAAAACTGTATGGCTGTGCACCTTCAGTAACATAAATGAATATTCTTATTCAGGATCGGGAGTTTCGCGCTGCTGCTGAAAATCCTTTTTTATCTGAGCAGAGTCAGGAACGTTTTCCTTGAGCGACGTCACTTCTGGCTTCCAGCAAGAGGCTCTGTTTTTAGATGGAAGAGCAAGTAGAGCCTATAGTTGGAACAGTAATAGCACCTCTTTTTTTCAAATATCTTCCTTTTTTCTAAATGAAAACATTAGTTTAGACCTATTACAATATAAGGACTTTAACATGTGTTTAACGTGGAAGACGGCCTTCAAAGTGGTGTTTTCCTCGCCGCTGTTGCTACATGCTCAGTATGGGGATTACTGCAAAGTCTCTGACACAACAAGTCAGTGACTCGATGCTACCTGCTGGTTTTCTTAGGAAGGAAACTTGACAAATTGGAACTAAATGAGGTTCAACTGAAATGTTTACTCCGCAAAGTGCCTTGAAACAACTCTTGTGGATTTGGCGCTATATAAATATACTGACTTGAATTAACCCAAGGAAACACACTTTCATGCCAACAAGGGGTGAGTGTGTTTAGCCCTGCACTAGTGATAAGACTCACATCACAAGAAAGTTCTTCTGTGTAAATCTGATGCAACTAAGATTGACTGATTAGATATGAGAATTGCCCCATCATTCTGAGAAGTACAGCTTTCTGATGAACTTCAAATACCTTGGCAAGACTCATAAAAAGAGCCTCGGAGTGCCACATGCTGTGCTCAAGAAATATTCAGTTCAAAGGCTTTGGTGAAGGAACACAGAGTTCGGAGAAACTTTTGATTACAAATAGTCAATTATGCTTAATCACAACATTTTATACTCAAGCTCTGAAACTGCAGCAGAACATTAACAATAATTACTTCTGTTTAAGCTCCACTACTCATTTCACTACATCTGTCTATTGAAGTGATGCTCAAACTATAATTACGTGAGATAATGTGTCAGAAATAAAGTCAAGCTACCTTTAGTGTTCTCCAAGGTAACCTTTTTAAAAAGTTAATTTTTACATGCTTTAAATATTTCCACGTAAAATGTTCTTTAAAAGCTTTACCAATATCTAGCCTTCTGAGCGATGCAAAACTTCTGTTTCATAAGTGCCACAAAAAAATA